AAAAATGGCTGAAGTAGCTCAGCCGTACTGTTAGAGCACATGTATCTCTTACTGATAATAGACATCTTAGTAAGAGTGCTATGGTACTTCTGTGAGAGCACATGTATCTCTTACTGATAATAGACATCTTAGTAAGAGTGCTATGGTACGACAGTAGGATTTTAATTTGTGTGTCTCCCACAATTAGTAATATTGAGCACTTTACATGGGTCGTTTGTCATTTGCATGCTTTCTTTGGGAAAATGTCTTTTTGGTCACTTTGCATACTAAAGTCAGGATTTTTGTTTCCAATGTGTTATAGAAAAAATAAATCATATATGTATATATATGTATATATAAAAACATATACACATGTGAATGTCTGTGTATATGTGTGCACATATTTGTGCATAATGTTGAGGACCAAATCCAAGGCCTCATGAATTTTAAACAAGTTACCTTGTCACTCAGCTAAACCTGTAGCCTTCACCAAGATACTAATTCTTCAACACACATATACTTTACAAATACTTTTCACATTTTAAAGTTTCATGACATTGTCCTTTGTGGTAATTTCTTGATTCTCACACACAAACACACACACACACACACACACACACACACACACACACACACACAGCACAGGGAAGCAATGAAAACAAAAATAAACAAGTGGGGGTTACATAAAATATCATTTATGCAAAAAATAAATAAAAATTTAAAAAATACCAGGTGGTGGTGGTGCACGCCTTTAATCCCAGCACTTGGGAAGCAGAGGCAGATGGATCTCTGTGAATTTGAGGCCAGCCTGGTCTACAGAGCGAATTCCAGGACAAGCTCCAAAGCTACATAGAGAAATCCTGTCTCATAAAACCAAAAAATTAAAATTAGTGTGGGGGGTGTGGGGTGTGTGTGTGTGTGTGTAGCTTGGTGTTCTTATGGGACTTCTAACAGTGGGAACGGAAGGTGGAGGCTGTTTCTGACTCTTCTGCCTGCTCTTAGGACCCTTTTCTTTCTGTTGGGTTGCCTCATCCAGACTTAATATGAAGGGAGGTACCCAGGCTTATTGTAACCTGACATGCCATATTTGGTTGATATGCCTGGGAAACCTGCCTTTTTCTGAAGAGAAAAGGAGGAGCAGTGGATACAGGGAAGAGGTAAGGTGGTGGGGTAGCTGCTAAGAAAATGAAAAGACAAGCTGCAGACTGGGAGGAGTGGAGGAAGAGAAAACTGGTCAGGATGTAATATATGAGAGAAGATAGATGGATAGATAGATAGATAGATAGATAGATAGATAGATAGATAGATATAGACAGACAGACAGACAGACAGACAGACAGACAGACAGACAGACAGACAAACTGAGCAGACAGACATGAGGGGACTGTCGAAATGTCAAAATGTCTCAGTGAGTAAAGTAGCCTGTAGCAACTCTGATAACCTGGACCTACATGGTACAAGTAGACAATAGAAGGAGAGAATTGACTCCCACAAGTTGTCTTCTGACTACCATGTGTACACAATGACATGTGCACAAGTACATGTACACTAAATACATGTAATTTTTAAATTTTTTCTTCATAGTTTAAAAAGGGGTGGAACCATTGGGTTTAAGACTAGACAAAGAGTTCTTTTTCCTTTTGGGGTGGGGTGTTTCAAGACAGGGTTTCTCTGTGTAACAGCTCTGGCTGCCCTGGAACTTGCTATGTAAACCAGGCTGGCCTCGAACTCACAGAGAACTGCCTGCCTCTGCTTCCCACATGCTGGAATTAAAGGCATGTGCCACCACTACCAGGCTAAACAAAGAGTTCTTTAGACTTGACACTAAAAATAATGTCATTTAGGGAAAACTAGTAGTTATACTTAATCCAAAATTTAAAAAATGTTGCAAGTATAATGGCTTATATCTGCAGCCCCAGCATTTGAGAGCATAAGGCAGAGGATTATGAGTTTGAAGCCCCCATCTGAAAAATTACTTATAGTTAAAATCCTTTTGTGGCACTAGCAATGCAACACATGTCCTCACACATGCTAGGGAAGTGGTCTACCACTGAGATACAAAACTAGCCATAAAATGAAATGTTTTTGCTTTGAGAAAGACCCTGCTAAGAAAATGAAAAGACAAGCTGCAGACTGGGAGAAAATATTTGCAAACCACACATCTGACAAAGAGCTGGCATTTAGAATATAAAAACTCTCACGGCTAACAGAAAAAGCAATCCATTTAGAAAATATGCAAATTATATAGACATTTTATCGAGAAATATATGTTATAGACAAAAAATGAGGACATACAAGATAAACATCAGGCAAAATTTCTCAGTGGGTAAAAATGTTTGCCTTATAAGCCTGACTTGACCTGAATCCAATCCCCAGAACCCGAAGCAAAAGGGAAAAACAACTCCACAAAATTGTTCTCTGTCTTCTACACATTCCCAATGGCCTATGTAGGCCCATGCACATAGATCACACACACACACACACACACACACACACACACACAGAGAGGCACTTGTGCAGGCACACATGCACACCAACAGCAACAACAAATAAATTTAAAATAAAAATATGACCATGAAGGTACAACACTTTCCTAGCATATGCAAAGCTCTGGGGTTCCATCTACACTACTAAAAAATTCATTAGACACGAGAATATTAAAGCCATAATGAGATTATCATGATGCATCAGTGGAAGCTTTTTTTTTTTTCAAGGACTTCGTTATTTTTAAATTTTTTTTTCCTTTTTAAATTTAAATTAGAAACAAGCTAGATTTACATGTCAATCCCAGTTCCCTCTCCCTCCCCTCCTCCCCTGTCTCCCACCAACCCCCTATTCAAACCCCTTTCTGCTCCCCAGGGAGGGTGAGTCTTCCATGGGGGATATTCAAAGTCTGTCATATCATTTGGAGCAGGGCCTAGACCCTCCACTGTGTGTCTAGGCTGAGAGACTATCCCTCTATGTGGAATGAGCTCCAAAAGTTCATTCGTTCACTAAAGATAAATATTGATCCACTACCAGAGGCCCCATAGATTAACCAGACCTCCAAACTGGCATCCTCGTTCAGAGGGTCTGGAACAGTGTAAGCTTTTTAAAAGTGACAACACCAAAATGCTGGTAAGAACGCAAAGAAACTGGAACAATCATTCACTTCTAGTGAAAATAGACCTGCTATAGTCTTTTTGGAAAAGCTTCTTTAAAAATAATGCCCTCTCCTGATAATGAGATTGATGACTAATTGATATGCCATCATATAGCCTTCATCCAGCTGCTGGCAGAAGTAGAAGCAGACACCCACAGCTAAACACTGAACTGAACTGAAATCCGGTTGCAGAGAAGGAGGTCTGATGAGCATAGGGGTCAAGACCAGGCTGGTGAAACCCACAGAAACAGCTGACCTGAACAAGGTAGAGCTCTTGGTCCCCAGACTGATAGCTGGGAAACCAGCATGGGACTGATCCAGACCCCCTGAATGTGGGTGTCAGTGACGAGACCTTGGAAATCTATGGGCTCCTTGTAGTGGATCAGTACTTATCTCTAGCATAGGAATGGACTTGGGGAGCCCATTCCACATGGAGGGATATTCCCTGAGCCAAGACACACAGGGGTTGCCCTAGACCCTATCCCAAAGGATGTAGCAGACTTTGAAGAGCCCCTATGGAAGGCCTCACCCTCCCTGGGGAAAAGAAAGGGTATGGGATAGGTAGGGTGTTAGTTGGGAGGGGGCAGAGGAGGAGGGGAGGGAGAGGGACCTGGGATTGACATGTAAAATAATCTTCTTTCTAATTAAAATTTTAAAAATTAAAAGAAAATAATATACACTTAGAAAACAGCACAGCAATTTCATTCTGGGCATTTTGTCCAGAGAAATGAGGACTTAGGTTCACACAAAAGCCTGTATATGGTGTGGAGAATACACTGCTGTGTTAGTGTTTGTCCTGTATGGTTGGTTTGAGTTTTTCTGAGACAGAGTCTCAATATACCCCACCCTGGCCTTTAACTTACTATATCTCCCAGGATGACCTTGAAAGTTTTCATTCTCCTGCCTCTACTTGACAAGTACTAGGGTTACAGGCTTCTGTTAACAAACCTGGCTCTCAAGTGGGCAATCTAAAGGCCATTTTGACAAAGAGACAGATTATCACATAATAAAAGCATATTTGAAAGAGATTTTTTCTCCCCAGAACTTTTGCAACAGTCTTCTGAAACAAACTGGAAGAATCAGGAAGAAATGACCTAGTGAACACTGGCTTGTGATGGTTATCAAATATTCTAGAGAACCATGTAGGAAGATGGGGGCCTAGAAAAGGGGCGTTTGGGTGATTTCTGTTAGCACAGCCAAAAGATCCATTTATTTGTAGTGTGCTCCTGAGGAGGGTGGTTGTCTTACACTGAGATGGGACCCACCGGTTTTGAAGCATGAATTAAAAGGACTCTGTGTTCCCAGGAATGTAAGGGAATGTCTATGTTCTGATACACAAAGATTTAAGAGTTCACTTGTCAAGAGACCTGAAAAACTAGAGAAAGCCACACTGCCTCCTGGACAGAAAGAAAAAAGCCAAGTTCGGGGTCAGAACATATTCAGCTGATAATATTTATCATGTGGTTATCAAGCATGGCCTGTGCCTGTGTTCTGTCCAAACTTGGAAAAGAAATAGGCAGTAAGAGTGACTGAAAATTCTACAAGCCCAATTACGGCATGCATTGTAGAAAGGCAGACTACTAGGAGTGACTTTTGAAGTCCGTTAAAAACCGGAGGCATGAGGTGCTACGGGGTCTAATGAGAGCATTCTTAAGGGTTCTTGAAAGCCAGTTACAAAGCCAGGCTTGTCTGGGGGCGTGGCCGTGAGGCAGTAGGGTTTTTAGCCAATAGCAGAGAGGGCTGTAAGTAGGGTGGGGGCAACCAGCCTCTGAGTCAAACAGAGTCAAACAGCTACCTCAGGCAGAGGTTCTGGGAGGCTGTCTGTTGATTTGAACTGGTTGTTTCCTCCCAAACTTCAGTTCTCATTTCCACTGAGATGATGGATAACACCGAGAGCGAATTCCAGCAGGTCATCCGCCGCCACTATCGTGAAAAAAGGGAGCTGCAAGCTAACATTGAGGCCCTAAAAAGTTCTGTCCCAAAGAATGACCAGAACAGAAGACAGCAGTTGCTTGATGACGCTGCCCGCCTCGAGGCCGAGATGGAGCAAAGGCACCAGCAAGAGCTGAAGAAATTTGAAGATCTTGATACTGACCTGGAGTCAGTTACAGCCAACCTCACAAAGATGAACCTCGAGAATGTGCCTCCACGCCCATCGAAGTCCCAGAAAAGGCACAAGCGAAGAGTTTTTGTGGAGAGACAACGCCAGGAAAGAATGCCTGCAGCCCAGGCCGAACAGCTGGCCACCCACCGCCGTGAGGAGGAAGAGAAGATCGCTGCCATTCTGGGAGCCAAAAATTTGGAGATGAAGGCCATCCCCGCCGATGGCCATTGCATGTACCGTGCCATCCAGGACCAACTGGTGTTCTCGGTGACGGTGGAGAGCCTGCGTTACCGCACGGCCTATTATATGCGGAAACACATTGATGACTTCTTACCTTTCTTCACCGAACCCGAAGCCGGCAACTTCTACACCCGTGAAGATTTCCTGAGGTACTGTGATGACATCGTGTACAGGGCATCGTGGGGCGGCCAGCTAGAACTGAGAGCCATATCACATGTCCTGCAGACCCCTATCGAGGTAGTACAAGCCAACTCACCCATCATTGTTATTGGGGAGGAGTACAACCGGAAGCCTCTCACACTGGTCTATCTGCACTACGCCTGCGACTTCGGAGAGCACTACAATTCAGTGAAGCCCATCGAGAACTCTGGCGCTGTTGGAGGTATGGCGCCGCGCCTGTTCTAGAAGTTTCTGACCCTGGACGCCATGTTTCTTTCATGCTCGACACCACAGATCCTGGGAGAACCGAAACAGCTATGGCGTTTCTTAGTAGGAGCAATTGCTTTTCCTTGGCTGGTTTATATTTCTTTCAAGCTTTACTTAAATCTTGAAATCTACCCCTTCCAAGTCTTGCCTCCTTTTGTTTGTTTGTTTCGTTCTGTTGTTTTCCCACTGTTATTTGTGTCTTCTTTGTGGTGAGGGGCATAATCACAGAAGAAAACCTCCTTGGAACACCCAAGAGGCTTATGTTTCATCAAGTCTAACTTGATTTGGCCCTTAGGTACCTTTGTCTTGGTCAGGCTTTAATTAACGTTAGCCTGGAAATGGAAGTTTTCGATTTTTTTCATTGTTTACCTGGGTTTAAATAAGTTTAGTAGAAGGGTTCCGTTTGTTGGATTTTCCCTCAGTATCTATCAACCCACTTGATAAAAGTGAAGTTTGTATGACTGAAGTGATATATGCCTGTTTTTCATTGTGTTTTCCTAGGAAAAAAAAAGCCTGTTTGCATTGCTTTTAACCAATGTTAGAATGCCTGGGTTATAAACAAGCCTTCCAGTAGTAATTTGACTGTTTTGATTTTCATTTAGACTTGTGAGGCTGCAAATGGGATTTTAACTTCTTGATGTTTTCTAAGCTGTAAAAAAAATGTGTTTTCAAATTTAAAAGCTATATGTAACTGTTAGATACAGAAATTCAGTTTACATGAGCCAGTAAGGGCTGCCCCAAAGATGTGGAAGATCTGAACTTAGTGACTTATTTTTTTTTTTGGTTTTTTCGAGACAGGGTTTCTCTGTGGCTTTGGGGGCTGCCCTGGAACTAGCTCTGTAGACCAGGCTGGTCTCGAACTCAAAGAGATCCGCCTGCCTTTGCCTCCTGAGTGCTGGGATTAAAGGTGTGTGCCACCACCACCCAGTCTTAGTGACTTAATTTTTACAGAGAAAAAAAAATGTTTTAAAAGCAATTTTGAGAGTTTCTACAGTAGTTGGTGCAGCTTTGTGTAAAGGAAAACAGTGACCAGTACAGCTTTGCTTCTGCTGAAGATGTTCCAGAAGAAGAGCAAGAACCGAATGATTGGCAGTCATTTTTAAGGTTAATCATCAGGTCCTGTATTTCAGTGAAGTTATTTAAAACCATTTGTAAAAACCTTTGTCCCTTCCAAATGTTCTCAAACAATGTATGTAAGTTTAAAATTTTTCAAAAACAACTTGCAATGTGTTAAAAATAAAAGCAGCTTTTGAAATACCTGGTTTGCATTTCTTGGGTAGCTGACTTATCCATATGAAGTTTGGCCAGATGGCCTTCAGTAAAGGGCTCCTGAAGAACCGGAGCAGTTGGGGTGAGAACACATGAGGCTTTGGGTAATACACCTGCAGTCTTGGTGGTGACCTGGAATGAAATGTTTCCCAGGCTGGAATTTTGGGAGGAATTCACACTAAGGATGCCCTGGGTTGATGTTTCACTCCCCGAAACATATGGAAGGGCTTCCTTTGATATTCTTGGCTGTGTTTGATAAAGAGTCCTGACTCTAAGACCTCAGTCAGGCCAGGCTACATTGCAGGAGGGGAAGAAATGCTGCTATAGTCTACTGAAGGACACTTCCAAAATACAAATACGGAAATCCTGACAGTTTTCACTATGGAAACAAAAGGTTTCAGCTCAGCTAGCCCATCTCTGAAAAAACACAGTGTTGGGGTATATTGTGAGAAAATAAACCTGTTATAGGGACAGGAACACTGGGGAAGGGATTGTGAGTCAGGGAAGAAGCGGGTCAAGCTTCAGGGGGGAGGCATAGGCTGGGGAAGGGAAAATATGCTTGGGAAAAAGATGTTATCTGCAGAAGGAGGCCTGGCCAGGACAGAGGGTGAAGGCTGAGGACAGAGACAGCCTAGGGAAAGCCTTTAGACACTGGGGCTGGAGGTGTCAACAAGCTGAATAAGTGGGCAAGATGAGAAACAGGCCACAAAGTGGTGAGTGTGTGTGTGTGTGTGTGTGTGTGTGTGTGTGTGTGTGGGTGTTGTTTTAGTGTGTTGTGTTTTGCTTTTTTGTTTTAAAGAAGCCTAGGATGGGATGGGATGGGGGTTCAGCGGGGGCCATGGAAGGATGGGAGGGAGAGGGAACTGGGATTGATATGTAAAATAAAATTGTTTCTAATTTAAATAAAAATATACGATTTATAAAAGGAAGCCTGGCTAAGGGAGAAGACATGGATGGGGTCTAGGGAAGAGTCCTGACTAAGGATGTGAGTGAAGGCTATTGACGGGCTATAGAAGTGGAAAAGTTGATTTATGGGGCGGGCTACGTAGAGTTGGAGTAGCAGGTCTGTTTGGCTAAGGCAGGGAATATTGATGGACAGTGGTTCTGACTGACTACATGCAGCACACTGGGATGAGGTAGGAGGCCTGGCTAAATGTCAGAGACACAGATGCTGGCTGGTGAAGGGTTTTTGTTAGGAGAGTTGAGTCAGCTGGGGTGAGTTCTATAGGGAAAGAAAGGAAAGAGATGAGAAGGGGACCAGGGTTAGAAAGGGAAACTGGCTAGAAACGAAACTGCATTCTAGGGAAGGGGTCCTGTAAAGAGTGGGATTGTTTGGATAATAAGGCAGGAAAGTGAGCTTCACAGTGAAGGAATCCCCAGGTGTGGAGAGAGGAACGGGCTAGTAATTGAGCAGCTCACCGAAGTAAGAGGCCAGGTTGGATGGGTGCAGCAGATGATGAGTGATTCCATGGCTCTTGGATGGGGAAGTGATCAGGATAGGCAACCTGGTTAGGCGAGGGGCACCTGCTAAGGACATTTTCTGAGGAGGAGGTTCTGGGATGAGATGAGGCCTTCCTGGGTAAAGAGGCATTGGCTGAGGAACCAATCAGCTTGGAAGAGGAGGACTAGATAAAGGAGCCTGACAGGTAAAGGCACCACAAGGTTTAAAAGGCTGGTGCAGGCTGATACAAGGAAAACAGTGTTGGGGAGAGGAAGCTAGCCGAAGAGGGGATAGAAGTATCTGGGGTCCCTGTTGGAGAATTGGGCCTGGGTTAGGAAGGATGTCTAGTTTGGCAAGGGACACAGACTGGGAAGTCACTAGCCTGTGAAAGGTCATGGAGGTAGAAAAGAGTCTGTCTTAGTCTGGGGTATATATAAGGATGCAGGCCCAAGTGGCCAGAGGAGCCAGGATACAGAAGTAGCAGAGCATGGAGGAAGCAAGAGGGAAGAAGTGATAGATGAGGGGAGGGACCCAGCTGGGTAGGGAAGCAGAGGGCCATAGCTCGAGGTAGGGGAGGCCTTAGCTGGGAAAAGGGATCATAAGGTGGGGATAGACGGCTGGTTTAGTCAAAGCTGTACAACAAAAGAATTCTTAGTTGAATTAGGAGCCCAAGGACAAGGAAGGTGACCCTGACTGTTAAAGAAGAAAAAGCCTGCAGAAAGGATCCTAGAAGGTAAATGGAATGTCTATTGGTACAGAGAGTCGGGATCTACAGAGACCCTGGCTGAGGAAGAGCATATAGATGAGGAGGAAGAGGACCTAACAGTGGAGGAGAACACAGAATAGGAATGGGGGTCCTGGAGAAATGGGTCAAGCTAGGCAAGAAGACACAAGTTAGGAAAGGGAACTCAAATAGTATCAGGAAGCTTACTTGGAGACTGGAATGGATGCTGCCTTAGGATTACTATTGCTGTGATGAAACACCATGACTAGCCTGTCGTTGGTGGCGCACGCCTTTAATCCCAGCACTCAGGAGGCAGAGGCAGGTGGATCTCTGTGAGTTCAAGAATAGTCTGGTCTGTAAGAGCTAGTTCCAGGACAGCCTCCAAAGCCACAGAGAACCCCTCCCTTGAACCCCTCCCCCACAAAAAAGAAAAAGAAATGCCATGACCAAAACAACTTGGGAGGAAAATGTTTGAGAGAAACCAAGGCAGGAACTCAAGCAGGACAGGAACTTGGAGGCAGGAGCTCATGCAGAGACCATGGAGGGGTGCTGCTTACTGGCTTGCTCCTTATGGCTTGCTCAGGCTACTTTCTTATAGAACCCAGGACCACTTGCCCATAGATGGCACCACCCACCATGGGCTGGGCCTTCCCCCATCAATCACTAATTAAGAAAATGTTCTACAGGCTTGCCTACAGTCAAATGTTTAAAAATACTTTTCTCATACATTATATCCTGACCACAGTTACTCCCCCTCTCCACCTTCCCTCCCCCTCAAATCCACTCTTCCTGTGTTTCCCTTCAAAGAAAGAAGAAGAAGCAGGCCTCCCAGGGATATCAATGGAACACTGAACACAGCGTAACAAATTACAGTAAGACTAGGCACAAACCCACATACCAAGGCTGGACGAGGCAACCCAGTAGGAGGAAAAGGGTCCCAAGCGCAGTCAAAAGAGGCAGAGATACACCCACTCTCATTGTTGGGAGTCCCACAAGATCACCAAGCTACACAACCATAATGTATTTGCAGAGGACCTAGCTTAGACCCATACAGAGTTCATGACTATTGCTTCAGTCTCTATGAGCCTCTCTAAGCCCTGCTTAGTTGATTCTGTGGGCCATGTTCTCATGGATATAGCCATGAGGAATTTTCTCAATCAAGGTTCCCTCCTCTCATGACTATAGCTTGTGTCAAGTTGACATAAAACTATCCAGCACATCCAACTTAAGAGTTCCTGGAAGATGAAAGGATTCTGGTTGGGGTAAAGTTCCTCTGTGGTTGAAGTGGTGCAAGCTAGAGGTGTTAGTTCAAACTGAGGAAGGTTACCTGGTTCAAAAGAGGGCCTTGTGGAATACTACTTTAACTATGTAAAGATGTGTTATATTTGTTTATGTTGAGGAGGATTACTTTAACTATGTAAAGGTGTGTTATATTTGTTTATGTTGAGGAGGATTACTTTAACTATGTAAAGGTGTGTTATATTTGTTTATGTTGAGGAGGATTACTTTAACTATGTAAAGGTGTGTTATATTTGTTTATGTTGA